CAAGGCGGGGCACAGGACAAGCATGAGTGGCTTTCTTGGGGGGTCGTTTCTGCTGCTACATGCACCCTGGGAGGGCATGGGGGGCATGTGCCCCTGGATCTGCGCACAGGGTAAGGGTGGGCTGCCACTGCAGGCTAGGGCGGGGGCTCTTCCTGGCAGGGGGGCTGGTCCAGGCTGCACTTGGGGTGGGCGGCAGCGGCACTGGGAGGAGGGCTACGGGGGTGGGGCCTATGGTGAATTTTGGGGTGGCTGCAGCCCCTGCCGTCCCTGTCCCCCTCACCCCCCAGTAGCTCCCTCCCAGCACTGCTGCTGCCCACCCCAAGCGCAGCCCAGCCTCCTGCTGGGAAGAGCTTAGCGCAGCCCTGGCCCCAGCCTGCAGTGTCAACCTGCCCTCGCCCTATGGGCAGATCCAGGGGCACATACCCCACATGCCCTCCTGGGGTGTGTGCAAGGCAGGAGCTCCCCCTGCACCTCCTGGATGAGCCAGCTCAGTGCCATGCTCTGCCATGGCTGAGCAGTGCCTGCCCCAGCTCCACTCCCTCACTACAGTGGGCCTTGATCTGCCCCCCCGCCCCTGCACCAGGGCACTTTCCCTCCTCCCGCCCCTTTCTCCACATCAGACTTACCAGCCTGATGCTGGTCTCCAAACTGCATGGCTGCATATTGGAATCAGATCAATATTGGCCGATACCGCTTCTTAAAAATTCGGCCAAAGGTACTGGCCCCCAAAATCTCTATTGGTGCACCCCTACTTACAGGTATAGAATTTCTGAAAAACATGCAGTTGCTAAGTCTGAGTTCAGAGAATTAGGACTTTGTTGCCAACATTATGTATGTATCCATCTGTCTGTCTATATACATTTTTTTTTTTTTCCCTTTGTAGGTATTATCATGGTCCAACTCCAATTCAGTCACAGCAGTATGCAACCAGTCAGGATATTATTAATTCTTTTCATAGTATTAGACAAGAAATGGAAGCCTATGTACCCAGACTAACTCAGGTAGGAAAATAAATAAGTCCCCTTGATGTGGAGAGAGTTTCTAACTTTGAGATAATTTTTGATTTAGTGGAATAATAATTGTACCTTTGATCCCTCAAAGTAAATGGATGTGTTTTCCCTAGTTCTTTGTATTATATACTATGGGGAATTTGTTTTAGAATTTTGGGTCTCCTTCAAATGAAAAACTTACCTCAGTGTGAACAGTTACAATGTGGTATTTTAGTTCCAGCCATTTCCAGCTATTTTAAAACTTTTTACCCTGCAGAAAGTAAGCTACTAAACAGCAAACTGACAGATACCATGGGGCAAGTCACACAGCCCTCTTGCACCTGTGAGGGAGCTCCAGCTAGAGTGGAATTGGCTTTGTTCTTCTGGGTGTTTGGGGCAAAATGCGAAAAGGCCAGACTGCCCCTGTGCAAACAGTAGTCAGTGACTGCTGGCCTTAGCCTTAGCCTCTGACGTATCACCAAACCACCTCTATATAAGACCACAGCACAAGGTATACAGCTAAATCAGTCTGGTAGTCTAAAATGGTCTAACACAGCGGTCTCCAAACTTTTTATGGTGAAGATCACTTTTCGTAAGTAAAGGGCAGCCCAGGATCTACCACCCGCTACCCAGGCTCTGACCCCACTCACCCAGCCTGGCCCAAGCAGCAGGGGGCATGGCTCATCCCAGCCATGTGCATCCTGCCACTCCCAATCGTGGAGCCTCTGACAGACTGAGATTGACTGCCAGAGGCTTCACGATCAACCAGTTGATAGAGATCGATTGGTTGGTGACCACTGGTCTAACATAACAGCACAGGGGCTGCTCCATCCCTAAAATGATAGACTGGCTGCATGTGGCTTTGCCTGAACCAGGTTGTCAGCAGTGAAAGCTCTTTCTCCTCCTGTTTCTTTACTAATCTGAATTACTGAATCTAAATTAAAGCTTAATTAGTTGTTTATTCCACAGCCTTAAGTTTCTGCCATGATTGACATGTTAATTGTGTTATAAATAACAACACTGTTCATCTAATTTATGATGCCACAAAAGGGCAAACGAGCCATAAAGATGCTCCTCAAAAAGTATGTAACATCTTTTGTGGGAGCTTTGTATGGCATCATAAATTGAATGTGTGGCATGCCCCATCAGTTGATTGTCAGCATTGGGATCTAGGCAGCCCCAAGTCTGGAACCTGGCTAGGGGCTGTCCTGGTCCCAGTACTGTCAGCAGGATGCGGGTTTGCCAGGACTTGGCACCTTTAAAGGGTCTAACGTACAGCCCCCACTTTTTCAGGTGCTGAGTCCCAGCAAGCCTTGGGGCATGAGACAGATTCAACCCCTACGTATGTACATACGTGTGTGTGTCCCGATCCTCAGGATTGTATGGGACAGCCTGGGGTCCAGACTAGGAGTGGAGCTACCCAGTGCCAAATCCTGACACTTGGATGAGCCTCCGGATCTGGCACAGGGCAGCCCTGGAGGCCAGGACAAAACTACCCCTGCCCAGTTGGCAGGATCAGGCTCTAGGCAGTTCTGGGTCCCAAACCCAGTTGCCCCTGCTCTATCCCCCAAAGAAGCCAGATGTTTCTTTAAGAGCAGATAGGGATGAGGGAGCCACTTGTATGAGGCAGCTCCTTAACCTAGTGCATGCAGTGGGGTAAGAGGGAGCTCCCCCATTCCCAGTGTCAGGCTTATAGCACCCAGGGATGTAAAAGGAAAGCAGATACTCAGCTGGGGCTCCTAGCTATGCACCAGCTTTTTAAATGTTTGGAGCACCATGAGCCTGACATCACAGAAAGGCTCCCCAGTGTTGTGCTCACTGCCCCCCAGATCTTCAAAAAGCAGGAGTGCAGCTGGGAGCCCTAGCTCAGAGCCTCTCTTTGTTACAGGGCACCTGGGAGTAAGGAACTCTTGGCTCCCCAGCTGCTGCTTCTGTGTGCACAGGGGTGCAGCTAGAGAGCAGAGAGCTTCTCACTCCCCAGCTGTAGGTGGCCTCTGTCCTTCCCCTGCTGGCAGCTGTTCCCTTAGGGTCTGAACCATTTTATACCCCATTCCCACAATTGCATGTCTGCCATGGCAGGTCACGTGTTTTGGGGAATGGGGCATAATTCCTCAGACCCCAATCATGCAACTGTCTTAATGTTCACCACTAGCCTTAATCAAGTTGCAAGGAACAGTGAAAGTCTCTATTTATTTATATTGCCTTGTAAAAAGAAAAGCTGAATATATCCCATGCATGCACCGTATAGACAAGATCCTAAGTTTTAAGAACTAATACTGTAAGCATGTTTGAGATCAGTACTTATAGACAGATGAATATCTATTCTTCTTGTTGTGGGGGAGGGGGATACACTCCTATTGGTAATGATGGTTAATGCCTGAGCTGTGTCTAATTCTTCAGCACGTCAGTGTGAAGAATATTGTTTTATAGTCCTAAATTAGAACGTCAACCTCTCATCAGTGGCAGTGGCTAAATTGAGCCCTTGCAGTTTAAATTTTGAAATTTGATTAGCCCCAATTTTTTTTTTTTTTTTTTTTAAACCACAATAAGTGACTAGGGAAAAATAAGGATTTTGAGTTTTTTTTCAAGGTTCTTTCAAGTGGTGATGCTGCTAGCACCATCACAGCCCTATCACCTGGGGGAGCACTTATGCAGGGTGGAACACAGCAAGCCATAAACCGTAAGTACTCCATATTGCTTGTATGGCTAATTATCCAAATGTGTAGAGAGAACTAACTTATTTTTCCACTTCTCAGTCCAAAGCCTGGTGGCAAAGCAAATGCAGGAATAGACATTTGTCTAACATCTCAAGTGTAAAAAATAAATAAATAAATGGTTCGAAGGTGCAGTTATCGTTTTAAATAAGAGTGAGAGGTCTCTGCCCAGGGAAGAAGATACTGGCTGAGCAAACTGGAATTACCATATTTACTTGGATAAAAGATTATCCTGATTATAAGACTCTCCTACAATAATTTGGTTCTGTACATGAAAAATTTAAAGTTTTGTTATAATTTTCAGGTATAGAATCTAATTATTGGCAGTTTGCCTTGAATTTGTTCTGCTCCCTTTGCTACAACAGGGAAAACAATTTTTGGTGACAGGTAGACCCCTTGCACTCTTTCTCCCCTCCTTTCTCACCATCAGACCCTGATTTCCCTGAGTACATGGAAGTGAGGGGCAAATTTGAAAGCACTGACCTTGAGATGAACATAATTTACCATATAGGCAAATTACTATCAGCATCTAGAATTTGTGCATTTTACCTTTTTAAACTGCTACAAGTTTTAGCACAGGTATTCTGTAAACACATTAAGCAGTACTTAAAAAGAGTACAAACTATGCATGATATTAGTCTAAAGCCAAAAGTCTCATGATTTACCATGTAGTACATTGGATTGGTCCTCAACAGAGATGCCAGTATTTCAAGGCACAATGACCCCACAGCTCAATATTGCTCAGTATGTGTGTACTCCAAATGCATCCAAAAAAGGATCCATGTGCTAGTTGGTTCCCCTCCCCCTCCACTTCCACCATGATTGAAACTGGGTGTTTTGCCACGAGCCCTGGGATCCTCCAAAATGTATATGCAGATGAGGCACAGAGCAACCTGGTCCTGATCCACCTCATGGAGGGTGGGGCTACACTAATCGCATGCAACAGGCTGAGAGGGGGTGACAGAGGCATTCCAGGTGAACTGTTTGGGGCCCCATTTGGTGATGTTTGCTAGATGCTTAGGGCTGGTGAAGCAACAGGAATCATTGGACATGGGGCAAGAAAGGGAAGCTCAGTTGTGGGAGTGAAGAGGAAATTGACATGTGTTCAGTGTAGTGGCTCACCATGACTTGAAAGAGTTGGCACTGAAGGGGACTGCATACTGTGGGCATTATCTTATTTGGATGGGCTGTACTAACTTAGCTTTGTGAGAGGTTTCCGTTATTAGGGAACTCTGGAATTCATGCTGAAAGTGTGCAGCAGCTTCTTTAATCTTGGAGTTTCCCCCACAGGCCCCTGCAGCTGCTAATTGGCAGAGGGGTCCCATCACTCGCCACCCACACCTGAAACCGCAGCTGCAGTTTTCACCTCACAGCCATCAAGTGCAGGTAGTGAGCAGCAAGCAATAGGGCCCTCTGCCAATCAGCAGCAGAGGGCGTGCAGGGGAAACTCTAAGACTTAAGGAGCTGCCATGCTGCACATGTTTGGCATGAATTTCGGAGACCCCTCCCCATTAGTATATTTGCTCAATGTGGGCCATGTGTTTTACAGTCAAGTTCAGTGTTGGTTGTATTTAATCAGCTTCATAGCTAGTTTCCATTACTGAGCACATGCTGCAATGATAGATGTGGTTTCCTTGTATGCGACTATAAGGCCAAGGGGCTTTTTTCTTCACACTGATTGGCGGGCTCATCTTGTATTTGAGTAAATACAGTAAGATGCCAAAGTACAAGTGACACTGGACACCATTTTAAAGCCACTTAAATGTAAGACCATTTATTATGCTTCCACCGAAGGGCCTGGTTGTTTCCAACCCATCATCCCCACATTGGGGAAATCAGATGAAGCCAGGAGGCCTGCTGCCTGCTTCCTGAGCATAATGTACATTTACATGTTGTGGGTTCCCTGCAGGAGGAACTGCAGAAAGAAACAAAATGAGAGAGAGCAGTATTTTCTCTAGGCTGAGAAAGTGCTGATCTGACTCTCTCACCAGCAGCTTTGGGTCAAGGTTCCACAGCACTGTGTCTAATGACTGCACTGAGTCTTAGCACCTAAGAAGTTACACCTATTTGTATAGAGTTAACTTTAAATCAAGAAAGATCTCTGGCAGAGTACAGCAAATACTCTTAAATGAGCTTCAGTTTAAAGGAACTGCTTAATAAACTAATGGAAAATAATATGATTAACATTTTAACAAATAGGGACAGTCTAGGGCAGGGGTGGGCAGCCAATCTGTGGCATGCAAAGGCATTTTGCTTGGCATGCACACCTCAAGGCAGATGGCAGGGAACAGGCTGGGGCTGCACAAAGATCAGGCCCCTCGCAACTCCCCCACCATCCGCCCCTGGCACACCAACATCTTACAAGTTGAAGTTGCAGCTATTTTGGTACTGCCCAAAAACATTGCAGACCCCTGGTCTAGGGCTCAAAATGCTGTATTAAGTAGAAGGTCAGCTTTATTTATTGCCAAATTTCAGTTTGGCTCTGTTAGCCAGACCTTATTTTACACTTCTGGATTTAGTAATAAGCATTTTTTTTCTGGTTGCAGAGATGGTGCCAAATGATGTTCAGTCTGAACTGAAACACTTGTATGTGGCTGCAGGGGAGCTACTGCGACACTTCTGGTCCTGCTTTCCTGTTAATACACCATTCCTAGAAGAAAAGGTAAAAGAACTGGAATAGGAGCTTGCTAGTTTAAGACCACTGGTTAGCAAAGTAGCTGGTGACATGGTAAAATTAGTACTTTCTTTCTCAGCATCTCTGACACGAATGTGCTTTTTAGTGCTCCATTTCTATTTAGACAAGTATGGAAAATGTTGACTATCCTAACCCTAGAATGTGTTTCTTATGAGGCCAACCCTCAAGAAAATAGCTTGAATTTTTTTCCAGATCCAAAGCTGATTGTGGCAGATATAGCCAGGAAAAAAGCCTTCCTAAGCTAAGCATACTTTACAAAACTTTGGACACAGTCCTAAAACAATCATAATGGCTTAGCCACCTCTCAGAACAGTTGCCTTTCAGAAAAGACATTATTGTGTGCTATTAGAGTATGGGACCAGGAACCAAATTCCTATGGTTTGGTTCCAGCTCAGCCATTGTCTTGATGTTTGACTGTGTTCAGATCACTTTAAGTATTCTCCTTCATTGGATCAGGCAAAAAAAAAAAAAAAAGAGTAGTTACAAGGCCTTTAGAATAACCTGACAAGACCTTTGGATAAATTCATGCATTCAGACATTTTGGGCTTTCTGCTGCAAGAAATTAACTCCAGAAAAAATCCACAGTACGCTGTTGGCTTGATAAAGGGATGCATAACAATGTTGCATGCATTCTGCCAGCAACATTTTACTGAATGAAAATTTGCAGTGCTTTGGAAGGACATTATGTTAAGAGCTGAAAAGTTGACTTAAGAAGAATGCCTGTGGTACAGATACTCCTCACTTAACGTCGTCCCAGCTAACATTGTTTTGTTATTACATCACTGATCTATTAGAGAATATACTCATTTAAAGTCGTGCCATGTTCGGTTATAACGTTTGGCCACCACCTACTAGTAGGCAACTACTGTGACGTAATTGGATTCGCTTAACGTTATTTTGCTTAGTTGCATTTTTCAAGAACACAACTACGACATTAAGCGAGGAGTAGCTGTACCAGAGTTTCATATTTTAATTATTGTGATTACTTAGCAATTGCACTCGGAACCTTGCAGATGTGCATCTACCTAAAGAAAAACTTTGCTTCGCATTTTCTTTTCAGTTTATAGGAGTACTTTGCTAAAGGCAAAAATAATCTTTATAGTTCATGTGCCATTCCCTTTTTCTCTACCTTTTCCAGGTTATGAAAATGAGGAGTAATTTGGAAAGATTTCAAGTTACAAAGCTCTGCCCATTCCAAGAAAAAATCCGGAGACAATATTTAAGCACAAACGTAAGGGCTGGGGGGGTGGAAATCTTAAATTCTTTAGGTACATAGTAACTAGCTCATTTTTTCAGAGGGTGACAGGTTTCCTTTTAACTAGTAAGTGAGAAAAATGAGCATTAGTTGACTGACAGATATCAGTCTGAGTGATGCATGATCCCAAGAATTGTACCTCCTGCTGTGCCACACCTGCATGGCAGAAAGTGCGATTATGGGATCAAGCATCAGATCTTCATCATGCCATATTGCCAGGGCAGGAGGAGCCCTGGATCACCATCCCAGGCTCCCCCTACACCAGCAGTCTTCTCTCCTGTAGCTGGGAGTTCCATCAACTGACAGAACTCCCAGCTGTGGGAGCATATGGTGCTTTCCTGTAGCTGGGAGCTCTGAACACTGCACCTTGAGCCCCTGCTGTGCTTTGAGCTCCCAGTGTGGGGAGGGAGAAATGCTGTGCTTCCATGCCTGGTAGCTCCATCAGCAGATCAGGACTCCTTTTGGGGGTGGAGGGGTGTTCTCTGCTTCCCCAGCTAGTATCCCCAATCAGCTGACACCTAACACAAGTATTTGCTCCAAAGGCTGGGAGCACTGGCCACACATTCAAGTCAAGGCATGATAAGAACCAGCAACAAAGTTTTTGCACATTTTTTTGTGGAATATCTTGGTGCCTTTTTCCTGGTTTTATCATGTGATTAATTGACTGAATGTGTGGCCGGATCACTGCTTAGGACATGATTAGCTGAAGAATCATGTCTTAAGTGTAATGTATTAGAGCCTTAAATTTAAAATTGCAGGTTGGTCAGTGTGTTTCATCATCTTGTCCTGGAAAACACCAGGCTCATGAGCCTGGTGTAAAAAACAATATAGGGTATAACTACTGTTCTGGGATAGACTGTTAATCTCACTTGTGATCATAATGACAAATGACCTCTTTGGCTAACGCACATAATTTCCACCAACTCTGGAGTCCTAATTACAGCATTCAGATGGAGACAACTTAAGTGCAGCTGTGCATCCATTGTCTTCACCCACAATCTGCAGACAAGTGAAACAAACCTCTTTAAATATTTCATAACTGAAAAATGGAGCCTGATTCTTATCTCTCACCCTCATGCATCTCCTCTGACTTAGTGGAATGACTTCGATTTTTACAAGTTGTGAGGGGGGCAAACTCCATCCTAGGGGTCGTCTTTTAAGGGGGGTGGGGAATAGGGCATGCTTCTTCTGTTATTGAGACTATTCCTTTTTGTCTCTACCTTTTTCAGTTGGTAAGTCATATAGAAGAGATGTTGCAGACAGCCTACAATAAGTTCCACATGTGGCAAACCCGGCGTATGTTAAAGAAAACGTGAAGATTCCTACTGAAAAGGTTTGAGAGAGAAATCTGCAATAGCTATAGGAATACAACCTAGCATATTTGCAGATCTTATAGACATTGCAGGAACACCTGCAGTGCGTGGACTTCTGGAAATGATGCTAACTGAACTTGCACGTTTTTGGAAAGAAACTGATTTTAAACTTGAAAACTAGGGAGAAAATATGGAAGAACCAAAACAGAAAAGCTGAGGGGCAAAAATATTTAAGAGACACTGTTTACTGCAGTTACTCAGGAACTGCTTTTGATTTGCGTAAAGAGCTGCTTTCAGAAATAAAAACTTTTAAAAAGGGTGTATTAATGGAAAAAATCCATTTTTGTCTAATTTTTTAAGTGTATGGCACAGGGTAGAATTCAAATGTTTTTCTTCACTGGATTCTGGCATTTTATTGAATTCTGTTTGTACTTACTGAAACCAAGGTTTAACAAACTCTTTTAAAAATAGCTGAGACTGTTTTTGCTTCAAACAGCTGGAGAGATTAGCTGTCACAAGACAAGCTTCTGCCATATGTTTCCCCATAAATTGGAAGCAAGAGACATTGCACTGAAAGCTGTTTGTGGTGTGGAGTCCCTGAAGGTGTATGGGGGCACACACCTTTGCCTAACATCTGGGGTTTTTATGCAGAATTTCTTTTTTCCAGCCATCAAGTTTGCATGTTTTCCTTTGAGTGCAAGCGTGTGCTGTTGCAGTCTTTTTCTTTTTTTTTGTAGGTGGCATTAGTTTGGAAGAGAGAATGCATTTTTCAAAGTAAAAGTTCAAAATAAAGTTTCTTACAAAAAACAAAGTCACTTATTTTCACCTCTCAGAAGAAATAAAGTTATTTCTCCTAAATCTGCTTTTCTCTGCTCTTCCCTGTTGAGTATTTTTTTGGCGAATTGATAATCGTTGAGAAGTGTGTGAATGCACAGCATCCATAGGTACCTGGAATATGTGCCATACTTTGTTCCAAATAGAATTAACTCACTGTTTATCTAAGACCTACCTGTCTTGTGTGAAATATTTCACTTAGAAAAAAGTAAATCTGTTTTATATAATAGATGCAGTTTAATGACATATTGTATTATGTTGTCTTACCTTGACAGTTAGAGCCCATACAGTTGGGCTACTAATTTTTTTTTAACTTGGCTTAAATGAGACTGTTACAGAATTAAGATGCAACACCATTATGTATTTAAAACCAAGCATAGCCATGTAGTGGAGCATTTGACCTCTACCCCACAGTGGCTTGAGCACTGTAATGAGGAACCCCTGTTCAATGTTAATTAGTAGGGAATCTTCTAAAAGTAAATATTTATACAGCAGCAGAATCTGTCTGTGGCTTTCCTTTTCTACTAATTATGCTACTCCATTTATGCAGGAGGGGCTCTCTGACTGGCATATCTTTATAGGTGACAATTTTTGCTAATATTTTGGTAAAAATCAGAATTTCCATTTGTGTCGCTGTGTCTGCATTGTTAATCTAGTTTCCACTGTCTGCTTTTCAGACAGCTGCATGGCATCTGCTCTGTGGTAATGTAATGTGGTTTTGCTACATCACAGATGACAGGGTTCAGTGAGAGAGACAGTGTTAAGCCAGGATGGTAGCACTTCACCATGAATGAGCTGAAGTATGGGTATAATAGTATCTGTGGGGGAGGTAAGGACTCTCACTAAAAAGGAGGTATTCACTTGCAATTCTAGTGAGTCTGTGGTTATAATTTCTATAAACAAAGTAACCTGGTTTTCTAATAAATAAAATTTTGTCCTGGCCCTAATCCCATGGATTTCAACAGATTTACAGTGGGCGAAAGATATTCAGTAGTTGGCTAATAAAATATTACCACTGTTGTAAATCTTCATTTTCTTTTTAAATAGCCACCAAAAAAGCAGTGTTCCCAAATATCTGTCCCCCCCACTCCCCAACAGAGTACACATCTGAATTGATGCATGCTTTCCATCAGACTACAGGGTTGGGCTGAGGAAAACTAGCCTAGTTCTATTCTAATAGTGCCTGCAGCTATGGTGACAAATTCACGTAAGAGATTGCACTGAAACTTTAGCAATAATCTCACTCGGCTTTAAAATCATGCAAGGGGAGGGTTTGTGAACATAGAACAAGTCAGCAGTATCTACTCCTTCCGAAAGCATTTGGCAAACTGCTCAGTAAGTTTCAGTGTATAGGTGTGCTGTTTATGAACCCAAAGGGATCTTGGCCATTCTTCGGGTTTTCACTGCCTGAACATACTCTGGATTAAACGCGAGGACAAATGCTGAAAAACAGCAGGTTGGTCCAGAAAGAGAGCAAGTGAGGATGCTGTGCACTTCACTTTGCATTTCCAAGCATTGTGGCAATAAAGTACAAATCCCTCTTCAAGTTAGGGGAGCTGTCACCCCCTCCTTCACAAGTTACATATTTCTTCCTCTAGGTACCTTCCCTTAATTGTGTCTCCTGATAGTTTTGTTTCAGTACTTTTGTAACATGGTCCAACAAACTGACTTTGACTATTTCCTTAGCAGTTTTGAAACTGTGAATCACCTTGCATTATATACTAATTGGAATCTTTATACTGACTTGTATTTTTAATGACAGTTCATACTTGTATTGCTGGCATTGATCAAAGTATTTGTAGAATAAACCCTACTGAATTCTGCAGTCAAGTTTTCTCTGATGCTTCATGCTGTGTATTTTGTGATCAACCAAATCAAAAATGCAAACCAAGCACCTTAAGGCTTTACAAAGAGACAAAGCTGTCTCTCAGAATTGGAGTGCTTTTCAAAAGCTCTTACTTTAGACAAGGGAACAGGTAGCATTAAAAGGAATCCTCTCCACTCTGTCACAGAAATCTCTTAATTTCTGATTAGCTTTTAAATCTAGTAATTCTTTCC